CCTGGTTATTGGCACAGTGTATTCAGCCTTGACCCCATCTGATCTCTGACTCCACTCGAACCTTTTTAACCTTTTAACAGCAGACTCTAATTGCCAATCTGTAAGATATATAAGAAGCTAAAAACATGTTAAACCACACTAAAGGGGCTGGTGAGATAGCTCAGTGGTCTAAAGCACCTACTTAGGCAAGCATGCAGGGACCTCGGTTCGATCCCCAGCACCACATGCCATGCCAACCTCACCCACAGGGTGGGCTGAGCTGACCATAAAAAAAAAAGAAAGAAAGAAAGAAAGAAAGAAAGAAAGAAAGAAAACATTTATATAAATAAATAAATTTCTTTAAAAAAAAAAAACACTAAAATAAGGCAATCAGCAAAATCCTGCAAAGAATCCATACAATAAATGAATGTTTCCTTTATCAAAAACATGAAGAAAAAAAAAAGATGAAAGAGGAATCTGAAATTTCACTCCAAAAATTGTGCTTCAATGAATAGCATAAGGAAAATAAAAGGACAACTGACAGAATGGGAGATATTTTTTGTAAATACATGGATAAGCGTAATGGAAAATTATATAGGATTCTTACAGCTCAACCATAAAAAGAAAAACAACCCAATTAAAAATGGACAAAAGGGGCTGGGATGTAACTCAGTGATAGAGTGCTTCCCTAGCATGCACAAGGCCCTGGATTCAATCCCCAGTACCACAAAAAAAAAAAAATTTTTAAAAAAATTTCTACAAAGAACTGTGCAATAGCCACATGAAATGATTTATCACTAGTCATTAGGGAAATGCAAACAGACACCACTCCACACCTACTAGAATGTTTATTAAAGATTACTGGAGATGAGGTAGAAAAAACTACAACCCTGGTATATACTGGTAGAATGTAAAATGTTCTAGTCACTCTGGAAAACTGCCTGACACAATTCTTCAAATGGTTAAACAGTTACCATACAACACTAAAATCCTAATCCTCCATTAATCAAGAGAAATTAAAATATATGGCTACACAAAAGCTTGCACGTTGAGCTTCACAGCTGCAAACATCCAAAGTGAGAGCAATCCAAATGCCCATCAGCTGACGAATGAACGCACCAAATGTGCCTGACCCATACAATAGAGTATTATTCGGCGACAAAAAGCAATGAAGCACATAGAGGATACAATATGGGTGAACCTTGAAAACATAACATTTAATGAAGAAAGCCAAACACATAGGTCACAATTTCATTTATACGAACTATCACAATAGGGAAATCTATAGAAACAGAAAGTAGATTAGTCCTCATGGGGTAAATGAGAGAGAATGAAGACTACTAATGAGCTCAGACTTGCTTTCTGGGGCAATGAAATGTTCTAAAAGTGATTACAGCTATGTTGGAATAAGTAGATAAATATATTAAAAATAAAAACTAAACTAATGTTTTTAGGAAGATTTTTTTTTTAATAATGCAAGCATTTTTATTTTTTTGTTTTGTTTTGTTTTTAACATTTATTGTGTGTGTGTGGCCAGCTCAGCCCACCAGGGGGCGGGACTGGCTGGCATGTGGTGCTGGGGGATCGAACCGCGGGCCCTGTGCTTTGCCAAGCTTGTTCCAAGTAGGTGCTTTAGACCACTGAGCCATCTCTCCAGCCCCAGGAAGATTTAAAAAATAGACCAATTTACACTATGTAAACTTAAATCCTGAGTTTTAAATATACACTACAAAGCTGAGCACAATGGTTGATGAGTATAATCTCAGAACTCTGGTAGGCTGAAGCAGGAAAAGCATAAGTTCAAGCTTAGCCTGAGCAACTTAGTTCCTTAGTGAGACCCTGTCTGGAAAAATTAAAAATGCCTGGAGATATAACTTCAGTGCAAAGGTCCTCCAGCACTACATAAATAAATACCATATGATAAACTAGAAGATAAAATTATAAGACAATCATGGAAATCAAACCACAGTTGAACAATGAATATCCAATTCTACTAAGGAATTATTAATTTCTTATAGGTATGATAATAGAAATAGGTTTTTAAAAAAGAATTCTTGTATTTTTATTTTGTTTTGCTTTATTTTTTGAGACAGGGTCTCACTACATAGCTCATGCTGTCTTAAACTTGCTATGCAGTCCAGGCTGGTCTCAATTCAAAATCCTCTTGCCTTAGTTTCCCAGAGTGCTAGGATTACAAGTGTGTACCATCATACCCAGCCAATTCCTGCAATTTAGAGATATGTGTCAAAATATTTAGAGATGAAATGATACAGTGTTTAGGATTTGCTTCAAAATAACCAGGGAGGGGCCAGGGAGATGACTCAGTAGAATAAGCACTTTCCTGGCAAGCACAGGGGCCTGAGTTCAATCCCTGGTTCAGTCGAAAAATAAATAAACAAAATAACCATGGAGAAGATTGGAATATAGGGATATAGATAAGATAGTTCGGAACAGGTAACTAACAAAGCCATGTAATGATGCATGGAGTTCATTACACTATTCTTTCCCTTTTTGTGATGTTGAAATTTCCTATCTAAAAATAGAAGGAGAAGGTGTGGGGAGATAGCTCAGTAGAATAAGCACTTGCCTGGCAAACACAGGGTCCTGAGTTCAATCTCCGATACCAAAAAAAAATAAAAATAAATAAATAAAAATGGAAGGAGGGGACAGGAGAGATTAAATATTTTCCTGTCATATCATTTTCCTAAATTCCAGTTACAGTATCAATCTCACAGGTGAGCAAACTCACTTTCAAATACATCCTCAAACAACTAAAAATACTCTTGGACTTCCCATTCCATCCTCAGTGACCACTTTTTCTATCTCAATTACAATCTTTCCAAAAGAAAGCTTTCATCCTTAATGCTTTCTCCATTTGTTGGTCTCCTTTTATAATTTGTCTTAAGCCTTAATGATTTTTAATTAAATTTTAAAACCTGCTGAGTTTTGATATTAAGTGGTTTCTTGAACAATAAACTGATGAATCTCCTTTGGCTTCCCAATTTTATTTCCTCTTAAGTTGAGACAAAAGAAAGAATGATCCAGAATTGTGAATTTGTGGCAAAGACTTCTTGACCACACTAGAAGACAAAAATTGGAGCTAAGGGTATACATACATGAGGTTATTGGTTCAATCCCTAGAACCACAAACATTTTCAGAGAGCCTAGTACCAGCCCATATCTCCACTACAAATAAGTCTCTATTAAAACAAAGATTTCTCAAGGGCCTGAGTTCAATCCCCAGTTCCGCAAAAAATAAAATAAATAAATAAAAAATAAAATAAAAATGAAACAAAGTTTCCTGTGGAAGAATGTGGAAGGCACAATGCCAATCAGTTTACCTAAACAGCATTAGTCATTATAAAAAGTGTAGGATACGGGCACTAGTATGTATCCCCATTTACCTAAGACTTCTAAATCTCACAGCTTTAAGAGCAGAGTCAAGATTTCAATCCAGAACTCTGGCTCTGGAACTTGCACTTAACACCAAACTACATCACCGGCTGGTAGAAGCCAAATCATGGGTGACCACCTGTAATCCCAGCACTTAGGAGGCTGAGGCAGGAGGATCACCACTAGTTCGAAGCCAGCCTGTCTCAAAAACACAAAAAGAGGAGGAAGAAATAAAGGAGGAGGAGGAGGAGGTGGAGGAGAAGCCAGCTCATGACGTCTCTGCTGTGATAACTCTAATATTCAAGATCAGAAATCATAATTAGAACAAATGATTTGCTTTAGAAACAAAAGGTAGACTATCTCCCAGAAAACCACCTACACCAATCTCTTCATGAAGATAACCAATTTCACAAATCTTGTTCTTGCATAGCAAAAAACAAGTCATATAATTTATATTTTAGAAATCCTTAAAAGTTAAAAACGAAAAAGAAGTATCTCTTTTGCCTTGCCCTTCTATGTGGAAGGCAGGGCCAGGGGGCGCTGGAGATGGGGGTTGTCAGAACCTACTGGACAGTGAGAGGAAGACAGGCTCTATGAGGGTAAGCAGGTCCTTCCAATTCAGTCCAGATCCCAGAGGGCCAGAAAGGCAGGGACCAGCTGCGAGGCTTCCCTGAGTCACTCCTATCTCCACATACAACACCCAAGAATGACTTAGCACCAACCAAAACATCAACACGACTCTAGAGGAGAGAGGAAAGGAGGGCGAATAGTCACAGCCCAGGGACTAAACTTCAGAAACAGTGAGGACAAGAAGTTCACACCCACCTCCCTCGCACTTCCAGCCTCCCCATCAAACCCACTCCCGGGGTGCTGGGACTGGGAAAGGCAAGAGCAAAGTCTAGTCCCCAGAGGAGCTCAGCAATAGGCAAGGAGGGAAGGGTTACAAAAGAGGACAAGAGAGACCTCAAAGATGAGACAGGAGAAGAAATGGATGGGGCTAGAGAATGAGCGAATAATCCAAATGTAAAAACCAAGGACTGGAGAGGGAGGCTTGGAGGGTAAATGGGTAGCACTGACAGGTGTGGAGGGAACAGGAGGAACGCGGAAGACAAAGGGGCTGGAGAACTGAAAGCCCCCTGGGACCAGGAGCTGCTGCTCTTAGTCCTGGACAGAGGTGCACGGACCAGCAAACTCGGGTGTCCAGACAGCTCTGTGGCTGTGGGAGCTGGACGGACGGCGGCGAGGGCCCTGGGCGGGGAGTGACCGCAGAGAGGTGCGGGACCCGAGAGGAATCGCCGCTCCGGGGTTGAGCAGCGGCTGAGAGTCCTCTCAGAACTGGCGCTCTGCGAACGGATAAACGCGGAGTCAGCGGACCGAGAAACACCAGGCAGGGAGCCAGGGACTGCTTGTGACTGACGGAGTCAGTGGAGGAGTGTCCGGCTCCAGGAGGTCAGAGACCTGCAAGTGACAAGGGACAGGACCCCGGCGGATGGCGCCTGGGAGCCGGGGAGCGACAGAGCGGGGGTCTACGGACGAGCCGGGCTCAGGGACTCGGGGCCGGAGTGTGCAGCTGGGGCGGCGGGAGTCAGGACGGCGGGTCAGGCAACAGCGGCGAGGCCGCCACTCACCGCTCATGGTGCCGCTCCCCGCTCCCGAGCCGGTGCCTGCGCCGCGCCGCCGCCACCGCTGCGCCTGCCGCCAGCGAGCTCCACACAGGCCGGGCGACAGAGCGCCCGCCCCGCCCGCCGGCCCCGCCCCGGAAATAGAATCCCTCCGCCCAGGTCCCGCCCCTCGCCCCGGAAGCTAAACACGGAAGCCGGCGTCTGAGGGGTAGGGCCGCGGGCTTCTGGGGTGCGGCGCGGGGCAGGAAGGGAGTGCGAGCTGATGCGCTGACTGATAAGGAGCGGTTTCCGGGCACGTAGTGCACCCCAGGCCTGTGTCGCAGCGTCTGATGGTGAAAAAGGCCACGAGGAAGGAGATGACAGCGTTCCAGAGAGGATACGAGCTGGGAGGGAAATGTAAACAGCGTAGTAGACTAAAGCGTGAGTGCAGGCGCGGGTGGGCTGCGCTGGAAGGCCTGTCCAAGGAGGTGACTTTGGGGAGCTGACCTGGACAGTTGCAGGGAGCCGTCCAGGGAAAGCTATTCCATGAGTCACAAGTGCGGGACCTTGCTTGGAGAGTTTGACTGAATGTGGGAGTGAGGGAAAAAGGGTGGTGAGAGGTAGGACGTTGAGGACTGCGGAGAGACCCTTGCAGGTCGTAGAGTTCGAGCTTTGCCACCTACCCCTAGGGAGGTCGGGTTGGAAGGCCACTGCAGGAATTTAAGCAGAACGATACAATCTTAGTGGGGTGGTGGGGTGTTTTTGTGGGAACAGATTTCAGTTTGAAATCTTGATTAGGGCAGAGAATGAAGCTTTACAAGTACTGTAAAATAACAATATCAGGCTGGTGAGATGGCTTAGTGGTCTAAAGCACCTACTTAGAACAAGCTTAGCAAATCACTGGGACCGCGGTTCAATCCCCCAGCATCACATGCCAGCCAGCCCCGCCCCCTGGTGGGCTGAGCAGGCCACACACACACACACACACACACACACACACACAATTTTAAAAAAAATAATATCACTGTGATGTCCCTTTGCCCTGTACATATAGAAAAAATAACAGAGTTGAGGCAGTAACAACATTCACAAACCAAGCACATTAATTCTGACAGTCTTTAGTAAAAAGCTGTTTTGGTTAGGTGATGGTTACTGCTGCATGCAGGTCAGGCTGGTTTGAAGGATAAGCTATGAATAGTTTAGCCATTTCAAAAATCCCCTCTGAGTAGCCCACAGTGGTGAGAAGGAGCCTTTGGTAATCACTTGTATTACTTGGAATCGTTTGCCCAGGGAGCAAGAACTCAGAAACGTACTGTTTGAGGTTTTGAGCAAATCAAGAGCAAATCAAGAAATCTGACAAATTGCCAGATGATATCAGTCAGAATTAGGACAAAATCTTAAAAAGGGCATTGTTCAGATACATCAGGACGTTTTGAACGTTTACTTGTATCCATGTGCCAGGAAAATGGAGATGAGAACCAGAGTGCAAATCAGGAAGCAGCTCAGGAAGATGCTCAGATTATCAAGCTGATGAAGGTGGACTCTGGACAGGTGAATCTGCTTTTAACATGATCCTGGCCACAGGCAGCTTTCCTCAGTTGAAAGCTACCATGGAGGCTTATTCCAGGATGACGACTCTAGATTTGTTAAGCAGTGTCAGCCGTGAGTAATCTGGATCTATAGCAAGTGATTTAAAGACTGTCTTACAGTGTACCCTGAACTGTCCTGCCTTTGCTGAGCAGATCTACTGTTCTATGAAAAGTCTAGTGTTCTATGAAAAGATGACATCGCCCTGGTTAGAACTGTGGTTTCTCAAAGTGAGATTGACCTTGTACAGTGAATTAGATTTTAAATCATCACTCTTCCTGGGATGAGAATGGATTTTAATGAGAGCAGAGAAAGACAGCTGGTTACAGAATGAATGCAGTGGGGGCCTGCCCCTTAGCTCAATTCTTTAAGTGGCTGCTTCAACAAAGCAGTCAGGCTTAGGTTGTTGTGGTTCGATCTCCACAACTCCAGCCAGCCAAACCTGCCCTGAAGGCATTCGGAGCAAAAAAAAAACAGTGAATACAGTTGTTCAGGCAAGAGGTAGTAGTGTGCAGCCTTAGGGTAGTGATGGAGATGATGGACAGATTGAGTGTGAACACAAGTGTTACACATCCACAACAACTTGTGAGTCAAGGTTATTGTGTTGCTTTGCAGATGGTGGAAAAAGGACCCAGAGAGGTTTGAGTTTTGGCCCAATTTGTTTTGCCCACACTCTTGTCATTGTTTGGTGACAGTCCTCCTGAGGCAGAGACTAGGGGCTCATTAACACTGGCTAAGAAACTAGGCATGACCTGTTAATTACAAAATCCCAGGACACATGTGCAGAACAGTTCCCAAAGCCCCAAAACTGGGCTTCTGGTGTACAGTTTCACGCATGCTTTTGATAAGATGGCCCCAGACCTTGTGCCAGACTCAGAAATGGAAGATACGAAAAAAAAAAAAAAAAAAAAAA